CTCGCGGTGTGGCTCAGAGCCAGGGCCAAGCCCTCCCTGGGGTGAGGCCCCGGGCGGGGGTCTCCTACCTGCACGAAGTCCCCCTGCTGCAGGTCGATGTGCCGGAAGAGCCGCTCCCGCAGGCTGGGCCCGGGCGGCGAGGACGCGGGCGGGGAGAACATGGCCCCCTCCAGCAGCAGCAGGAAGGCCAGGAGGGAGGACGCCTGCGCGGAGGGTCAGAGGGCCAGGTCGGGGCTGTCCGCCGGGCAGGTCCTCCGGGGACTCTGCGGACGGAGCCTCCGGCCCGGGGCCGAGGACGCTGGGGCCTCTCCTGGGACACCTTCCTGAGCACTCCTCGAAGCTAAAGCGTTTTTAGGGCGGAGGCCCCCTCACAAGCTCGAGCGGAAACTGTCGCTTTGTCCCGGCGGCCCTCGGGGGCTCCCTAACTGTGCGGTGGCTGGGCCTCCTGCTGGCCGCAGGCCGGGTTTGTCGGCCCCGGGCTCCACGGCTCAGCCCTTCAGGGTTTGTCGGCCCCGGGCTCCACGGCTCAGCCCTTCACCGGACAGCTTCAGGAGACCTGCCTCATGCCCTGAGGACCCGCGCGGCCTCTTTCCGTCAGTCCTCAAGGCCGGACTCAGGAAGGGCAAAGCCAGGACCCTGCAGGCGACGCCTAGGAGGGCGGGGCGCCCCAGGCCGTCCCCGACCCGGCCTGCCTCACCTGGCGCCCTCGCCGTCACTCTGCTCCAGTCCCTGGCCTCTGCGGCCTTCCTGAAGGGCACCTGCCTGCCTGCCTCCCCGACACTGACACCGAGGCCCTCCGGCCGCCCCGCTGCCTCCTCCTCTTTCAGGGACCCTCTCTTCATCCCACTACCATCCCCCCCCAGGCCGCAGGGGGCGTGGCCTGCCGGGGGCACCTGCCCGACCTGGCTCTGCCTGGATACCCTCAGGTGTCTGCTTGGAGAACTCCTCCCTGCCCCCAGCACTGATGTTGTCTGTAGCACAATGAGGGAGGCTGACCCCCAGGCCTGACCCCGACCTGACCCTGAGGCCTGACCCCGAGGCCTGACCCCGGGGCCTGACCCCGGGGCCCACAGAAGGCTCTGGGAGAGAACTCTCATCTGTAGGAACTGCCCATTCCAGCAGCTTCTGGCGGTGGGAGGGGAGGGAAGAAGAAGGGGACAGAGAGGCAGGGGCTCTGTGGGGGCTCCCGCCCCTGCCCAAAGCCGTGGGGGGGTGAGGCCCCCCTTCCCTGCTGCAGAGAGATCTGAACAGCAGGGCGCTGCTCCTGGCTGCAAATCCGTCACTTTTCGCCTGAAATCCCACATTGGCTATTTCAAACATTGGCGTTATTTTATGCTACAACATTAGGATTTTTAATCTGTGCCCTTTGAGGGTCTCCTTTTGGTGGGTGGAAGCGAGGCGAGGGCTGGGCCTGGGAGCAGGGTCCGGGAGGAGGCTGCTGGGGTGCCCAGATCCAGGTCCCAGCTCACGCATCCCCGGGCGTGCGGTCCTCCAGGCTCTGCAGAGAGCCGCCTGCCCGGCAGCCCTGGCCCTCAGGGTGCTGAGTGGGCCATTCGGGGTGAAGTCTCTGAACACCCCCCTCAGGAATCCTGGCCGGGGTTTCTCCAGCCCCTCACCCCAAGGAGTCACCAGCCCGACAGGGCGGGGGCGCCCAGGCCACAGCTCGCCGGGCTCGGAGTGCATTTACACAGTAGACGTTTCTTTTTAAAGCTGCTTCAGGCTGGGCTGGTACCCCCGACATACATTTCTGGGCCCCAAGAGAGCAAAGATGAGGCGTGAGTGTCCAGACAGACCAACATCCGAGGGTGAGTCCTAGAGACCCGAGATGGACCCGTGAGTTTGGCGCTTCCGGGAAATCACTTCCAAGCCCAAACCCAAAGACTCAGCTGGCAGCAGGGACCGTGGGCAGGAGGTGCCTGGGCTGGGAAACCGCTGCCCGCCGAGGCCAGCGTGGGCTCCGTCTGGCCCGCCTCCGCCGGGGCCCCTCAGAAGGATCTCAGGAGGCTTCAGCGCCAAACAGTTCCAGCTGACGGTCAGTCTGCAGAAGCCCGCGTCCACACAGACTCACGCCCGCATCACTGACGAGGCAAAGCGAGAGCCAGCTCTGGGCAGGGTGGCAGGAGCCCAGGCAGCACAGGCTGGCTCAGAGGTGGCCCGGCCACCCCTTTCGTGCTGCTCGGGAGGCCACTGCCCTGCTCTGCACCTTGGCTTCCCGGCTAAGGTCGGGGAGGGGGGGGCTCACGGCTGACCGGCCCGCTCGTGGGCACAGAACCTGCACTCTGACCGAGCATCGGCTCACCAGCTGCCACAGAGCAGTGGGGGGTGGTGTATAAGGTGTGGACTGTGCCCCCGGGGGCAGGGGCCAGCGCGTGGTCCAGGAGGGAGTCAGTGCAGAGCCGAGTGCGGAAGGAGGGGCCCTTGGGGAGGGCCAGCTGTCCGGAGGCACTGGCATCCAGGCAGACGTTGTGACCTTTGGAATTTTCTCTTTTTAAGTAAAGGAATGCATCCAAACACTCAAGCGAAAGGGGCAGTTTTGTTGGGAAACAGTGCAGAGAGCTCTGGACTTTAAGAACTATCACAAGGGATCAAGACAGCATGTTGCTGAGTAAGGATACGCGCGAATCAGTGGATCAGAGCTGCAGGTCCAGAAATCAGCGCTCACATTCACGGGGAGCGGAGTCCCAACAGCCTCCCCAGTAAATAGTTTCTAGCCCAGCATGGGTGCCCACGTTCCCAGCATGCAGTTGGACCCGTCCACCCACCACACACAAGCACTGATTTAAATGGGCAGCGACCCACAGGCGAGTTTAACGGCACCGGCACTTAGAAAACAAAACACGCGGGAGCAGCCACCGCCTCCATGTAGGTGATGACTCGAAGACAGGACAGCCACAGCCCAAGCAGCAAAATGAAAAACAGTTGTGCTGGATTTCATCAACTTTAAAAATGTTTGTTTTTCAGAAGACACTATTAAGGGAGTCGGAAGACAATTCACAGAATAGGAAAGAAATCTGCAAGTTATATATCTGACAAAGGGCTTATGCCTGGAAAATAAAAAGCTACTGCCACTCAGTAGTAAAAGACATACAGTTCGATTTTAAAATGGGCAGAGGGTTTAATAGACATTTCTCAAAAAAAAAATACAAAATACAAATGAGCAATAAGCTCATGAGAAGATCTTCAACGTCACTAGCCACTAGGGAAATGCACATCAAATTAGCAATGTCACAATTCCACATCCAGCAGCCTGGCTAAAATCAAAAAGCCAGACAATAGCAAGTGTTGGTCAGGGCATGGAGAGACCACAGTGGTGCGATATAGCATGGAGAACTGGAAACAGTTTGGCAGTTCCTCGAATGATTGTGAACAGAGTTGCCGAGGGCCCAGAAATTGCATTTCCAGGGATACATGCAAGCAAATCTGGACTAGCTGTGTGGCAGCGTCATTCAAGGCATCCGGCTCATCCTGGCAGGGGAGCAGCCTGGCAGGGGCATGCGGTGGAATATTAGCGAGTCATGAAAAGACCGCAGTTCTGACGGGTGCCACCACCTGGTGGACCTTTGCCCCAGGGTGCCAGCCGCTTATGTGAACTACCGGGAATGGGTGAATCGACAGACCAAGCCGGCGGTCCTAGGGCGGGAGCGTCGGGGAACGTGGGGGCGACTGCTAATGGGCAGGGGGTCTTCTGGGGTGAGGCAGTGTTCTGAAATCGTGGCCAGGATCGTGGCATCTGGAAGCCGGGGCTCTGCACATTGAGTGGGTGAAGGGTGAGGAGGGAGCGCTGGGGCCGACTGCTAGGGCCCAGGGCAACGAGCGTGCGCGCCTGCGCAGAGCATCTCTGAGCGTGAGAAGCGTGCAGAGGGCGCCAGGCAGGGCGGGCAGGCCCGGGCCTAGCCCATCCGCGCCGCCCGGGGGCCGTCCGGGCCCTTGGCTTCGCCTGGGGTGGAAGCCC